CTTGGTTAAAGTTAGTACTCTTTTCTGTGATATGTGTAATCTACCCTTTCATCAAGTAAGTGTCAAGTTGTGAGTAGCTTGGTTAAAGTTAGCAGTCTTTTCTGTGATATGTGTAATCTACCCTTTCATCAAGTAAGTGTCAAGTTGTGAGTAGCTTGGTTAAAGTTAGCAGTCTTTTCTGTGATATGTGTAATCTACCCTTTCATCAAGTAAGTGTCAAGTTGTAAGTAGCTTGGTTAAAGTTAGCAGTCTTTTCTGTGATATCTGTAATCTACCCTTTCATCAAGTAAGTGTATGTATGTATGCTTGCTGCGGAATGTGACACACTATAAAGGTTAGCTATAGAATGTGACACTATAAAGGTTTGCTTAAAAATGTGACACACTATAAAGACTAGATATAGAATGTGACACACTATGAAGGCTAACTATAGAATATGACACTATGAAGGTTTGCTGCAGAATGTGACACATAAAGGTTAGCTATAGAATGTGACACATAAAGGTTAGCTATAGAATGTGACACTATGAAGGTTTGCTACAGAATGTGACACAGTATAAAGGTTAGCTATAGAATGTGACACTATGAAGGCTAACTGCAGTGTGGGACACACACAATGAAGGTTAACTGCTGGATGTAACACATTATGAAGGCTAGTTATGGAAGTGTGACACACAAAGGTTAGCTGCAGGATATGACACACTATGAAGATTTGCTGTAGAATGTGACATGCTGTGAAAACTACTAACTTATGTCTTCAACTGTTCGTGGATGAATATTTTCTAAAACCAGTTGATTTCATTTATAGAAAGTTATATATGTGTGGTTATAATATCATAAACTTGATATGTAAGGGTATTTTAATATTTGGATAAATACTAATAAAATGAATATAAAGTTGGCTGCTTTTTGTTTATTAAAAACAGGAACAGAAATGTTACAATTTAGAATTTCTCTACAGGAGTGTTATGGAGTGCCATATATCCCTGAAGGTCAATGGCTGTGTCGACGCTGTCTCCAGTCGCCCTCACGTGCAGTTGACTGTGTGTTGTGCCCTAATAAAGGGGGTGCTTTCAAGCAGACAGACAATGGGCGGTGGGCCCATGTGGTATGTGCCCTATGGGTTCCAGAAGTCTGCTTTGCCAACACTGTCTTCCTCGAACCTATTGATAGCATAGAAAACATCCCACCTGCTCGCTGGAAATTAACGTGCTACATATGCAAGCAACGAGGGTTAGGGGCATGTATCCAATGTCATAAAGCCAACTGCTATACAGGTAGGACTTGGGAAAGGTATTATAAAACAGGTACATTAATTTTAAGCATTTCAAGGAAAGAGAATCTAGCACAATACCATCTCTTACCTGGGGTAATATTAATAAATTTAACTTTTTTGACAACTAGGCTAAAAAGTCAAAAAGTAGCACTCATAGCTAGTTTACAAACTGCAGTGTGAAAAGGTGAAATGTAACCTGGTTAAAGTGATATCTGCAAACATGGGATCTGTGGTATGGTGAGATATACTGTATCACATTTTAACCTCATTCCATAGCTGCTAATAAATTGGGAGTGAAAATATTCCTTCTTGACCTCTTTTTAGGCTTAGAAGATGATGATTTTCCAATTGCTCTTCTAACCTCATCATTGTTATTGGTACTGTATCCACCAACCTCATCATCACTGCTGTGACAACAACTGACAATTTCATTCAAGGTCTGCTGTTTACCTTCCATACTTGCCTCACTTCTTTTCTCAACCCTTGATATTTTTAAAGAAACAATCTTATCTACCTGGCCCATGCACCCATAGTGTCCTCTTTCCCTCTGAGTAAGAAGAAAGTCCTGATCTTTTGGGATCTTCGTCAGGGCATTCCTATGAGTGATGCCAAAAGGATCATCCAAATTACAGACAAACTCTTCTTCATTAGCTTGCTGTATTTAAGTTTTCCTTTTGGAATTTTTCTTTAATTTTGCCCATTTTTCAGAAAGTTTTTCCAGTTTGATAATGGCATGATGTCTTCGACAAACTGGAATTTGAGCTTTGTTCCAAAAAGTTGCAGCTTCCTTGACGAGTGAAATGTTGTACATAAAAATTCAAAACTAAAGACCACTCCATTGGACATGCTTGACCTTTCAGCCACCGGGGTGTTATAAAGTGAGGGTTAATCCCATTATTTATTGGTAAAGAGTTGGTGTTGTCTAGTGGCCTTCCTTATATCATATCAAAATTAGGGATAGCTAGTGCAGATAGCCAGCATAAAAATCTAAGAAACAAATCAAGAATGGTTGGTAAATATAGAAAATTCAAAAGTGTACAATAAATTAAATTAAGATCTGAGAAATTAATCGTTGGTAAGCTGTTCTAATGTTTTTGGTTTATGTTAAAGATTTATCAATGTACAACTGGACTGTGCCATTAGAAATTTTTCATGACTAAAAATATTAACCTTGTGACCACATACCTGGTTATGGTTAAGCCTGTTGAGTAAAAAATAAGCTTGCAGAATATTCACTGAGTTGTATATCTGTTAAAGAGATGTTATCCGTTGTTAAGCTCAAAGCTACACGATGGGCTATCTGTACTGTGCCCACCATATCTGTTAGAGATTTTGTTGTCTTAGTTAAGCACAAAGCTACATAATTGGCTATTTGTACTGTGCCCACCATATTTGTTAGAGATGTTGTTGTCTGTAGTTAAGCTCAAAGCTACACGATGGGCTATCTGTACTGTGCCCATCATATCTGTTAATCCTATAGACACCAGTAACTGTGTAGAAATGAACACCTGTTTAGTTATATCTCTCATAGACACCAGTAACAAACTGTGTAGAAACGATCACCTGTTTAGTTGTATCTTTCATAGACACCAGTAACTGTGTAGAAACGAACACCAGTTTAGTTGTATCTTTCATAGACACCAGTAACTGTGTAGAAATGAACACCTGTTTAGTTATTTCTCTCATAGACACCAGTAACTGTGTAGAAATGAACACCTGTTTAGTTATTTCTCTCATAGACACCAGTAACAAACTGTGTAGAAATGAAC